TCCTACCCATGACTTGGAGCTTGCCGCAATCATACATGCCTTGAAAACCTGGCGCCATTATTTGTATGGAGAGACCTTTCAGATCTACACCGATTATAAGAGTTTGAAGCACATCTTCACTCAGAAGGATCTCAATATGCGTCAGAGAAGGTGGATGGAACTCCTCAATGACTATGATTATGACATCCTATACCATCCAAGTAAGGGCAACGTAGTGGCCGATGCCCTCAGCAGGAAAAGTGTAAGCACCCTAGCCCATTTGATGGTTTCAGAATGCAAGTCCATTGGGGCTGCGCAGCAGGTTCGCCTGCGAGATCTGAAGAGAGTCACATGTTTGGGCCACCTAGCAGTCCAACCCGAGTTAATCCAAAGAATAAAGGAAGCCCAGTTAGTTGACCCCGCCCTAGTAACCCACAAGAAGGATGCAGAACAGGGAGTGAGCTCAGAATTTCATATCTCTGCCGACGGATTGATTCGTTTCAAGGACAGAGTGTCTGTCCCAGATGACAGTGAGTTAAAAAGAGATATCATGACAGAGTCCCATAGTTTAAGGTTTGCCATGCATCCAGAAAGTACAAAAATGTACCAAACTATGCGATCTCGGTTTTGGTGGAATGGGATGAAGAGAGATATAGCCGACTTTGTATCTAAGTGCTTGGTATGTCAGCAGGTCAAAGCAGAACATCAACGCCTAGGTGGGTTACTTCAGCCTTTACCGATTCCAGAATGGAAGTGGGAACACATCACCATGGATTTCGTGTCGGGACTACCCAAGGCACGATCGGGACATGATGCTATATGGGTAATTATTGACCGACTCACTAAGTCTTCCCACTTCCTAGCCATCAGAATGACTGATTCTTTGGACAAGTTGGCAAGAATGTATATCCGAGAAATAGTCAGACTGCATGGAGTCCCATTAACAGTGGTATCCGACAGGAATCCCAGATTCACTTCTCGGTTTTGGAATAGTTTCCAGCAAGCTATGGGAACAAAGCTGTCTCTTAGTACAGCCTTCCACCCCCAAACTGATGGACAATCAGAGAGGACAATTCGTACGCTTGAGGATATGCTCCGAGCTTGTGTCCTTGACTCCGGGGGCCATTGGGACGACCATCTACCACTGATAGAGTTTGCCTACAACAACAGCTACCAAGCAAGCATCGGCATGGCCCCATACGAGGCACTATACGGGCGTCATTGCAGGTCACCGATTTGTTGGGAGGAAGTGGACGATAGAAGATTTTTTGGCCCGGATTTGGTAGAAGAGACCACCTCCAAGATAGTTAAAATCAAGAAGAACATTCAGACAGCTCAGAGTAGGCAGAAGAGTTATGCTGATACCCGGAGGAGAGACCTGGCTTTTGAGAAAGGTGACCGGGTATTTCTTAAGGTCACCCCCTTCAAGGGAATTAGTAGGTTCGGCAGGAGGGGAAAACTAAACCCCAGATATATTGGACCCTTTGAAATCTTAGACAAGATTGGTACCACTGCCTACAGACTTGCACTGCCTCCGGAGCTCTCCCGAGTTCATAATGTGTTTCACGTATCTATGTTACGTAAGTACAACCCGGACCCTTCTCATGTCTTGACTCACGAACCGCTCCCACTCCAAAAGAATTTGTCTTATGAAGAAGTACCGGTCGGTATCACGGACTGAGAGAGCAGAATACTCCGCAATCGGGAAATATCATTTGTAAAAGTCGTGTGGCAGAACCACACGCCCAGGGAGGCCACTTGGGAACTGGAATCAGAAATTAGGGCCCAATATCCCCATCTGTTCGATCAAGAGTAACGAGGCAAATTTGGGGACCAAATTTCTTTAAGGGGGGGAGAGTTGTAGCGCTCGGGAAATTGAAGAAGGAAAAAAAAAAGGGCCACGTCAGCAGTCCCGACCAACCAGGACCTGCCACGTGGCAAAACTGCGTCGACCGGGGACGGGCCACATTGGTGATCCGCGTACGCGCGATCGGACGGCCCAGATTAAATCAAAATGGACGGCTAAGATCAAAAGGCAAAAGGGTATAAATAAGACCCCCACACCAGACCACAAAACCCTAGCCGCCTGCCCTCGCCGGAGAAGACGAACCAGAAGCCGGCCGCCGCCACCCGCCGCCGCACCGGGGAGATTTTCATCCGCCGATCGAGGTAAATTTCATACTTCCGACTCGTTTTTCCACGCTGATTTCCCCTGTGGCCAAATCGGAGCCAAAATCCCGGCCAAACGACCGGAAAACAAGGCCAAAACCCAACGGCGCCGCCGCGTCCCTCCTCGATTTTTGCCTCCGATGAGGCCCTTCCCGGCCTCCATTTAATGCAATTTTTATATCACCGTAATCACCATTCTTTTTTCTACAGGTTGATCGAAGCCGAATCACCAAAACACGAACTTCACCGGAGAGCCGCCGCACCCGAGAGCACCGCCGCCGGTAAGCTTCGGTTTTCCGTAATTTTTTGGCCCCCCGAGGGCCCTAGAGTTGTTTAATCGCAAGGATCGATGCAAGTGTGGCCGAATTCGGCCAAACCGAGGCGAATCGCCGTCGCTGGAGCACGGCGAAGCCGCCGTGCCGGAATTGCGATATTGGCCAAAAAGGGGCCCTAGGCCTAATTTGGGATTTTTTGGAACACGTGCAGGTACCAGTAGTGCGTTTCAGTTCCCCGGAAAAAAATTCAGGAAAAATTAGGGACAGCGTGTAGGCGCACTGTGAAGCCGTGTTCGGACCCCGAAACGAGTAAGGACCACTCACCCTATTACCTATCAAGGTTTTAAAGTTCAATAAATGATAAAACGGTATTTTATGAATCAATGAATGTGTGAAAATTGCTTAAGGTCGCTAATGGAGCCCGAGTCTAGTGTGTTTGTCGGTTAACTGTTATTTGGCCTGTTTTACAGTTTTAAATGCAGTATGAGGTTTGATGTTTTCATTTTATAGTTTCGTGTGCATATTTTACTGTTTTACTGATTATGGATCGAATGACTGGGATGTTGATGTTGTATGTTGTCTGTTTGGCATAAATTACCATTTTGTTTGTTTGTATGTGGATTGATGATGCTGACTGAGGAAAAAGAGAATGAAAGATTATGTAAATGGGTAATTGTATAACGTGGTCAGCCTGACTAGATATCCTGAGAGATGGTGGACGGACCGGGTCCGTAGGGAACCCTACCGGGATTGTGGTCTCCCATACCGGACAGGGTATGGAGATCTTATGTGTTTTGGCGCCCATATCGGACGGGGTATGGGGACGGCTCGTTTCACCCTCATACCGGACGGGGTAATGAGGTTTATAGTTTTGGCGCCCATACCAGACGGGGTATGGGGACGGCCCTGGAATATGATTTCAAGTGTTAAGGGTTAACGGGTAGCGGGACCCCTATGGATCCCCATGGATACTAGTGGGCTGGTAAAAGAGGAAAAATATGTTGTGTAACGATTGAATTACAAAAGGCTTGATAAGTATTATGTTATACAGTTCATATATGATTTCATGATGATGATAATGTTATTGCTTTCGTATACTGTTTTATGGATTCCATCGAGGTAAGTGGATGGTGAAGAATTTATTATTGATAAAAGAATTTGTTGTAAATTATGCTCAATTGGTCTTTTTGTATTTTCTACCCACCTTTACCTCCGTGACGGTGAGATATCGTGATGTCTTTACTGGGCTAGTGTAGCTCATTCCTTATTTAATCATTTCAAATCAGGAAGACATCCTTCCCGAGCCGGTTCCGCAGGAGGACGACGAAGGGGATGCCTAAAGACTCCATAGTCATATTCGTAGCTTTTACTTTCAAGTTTCTCCTTTAGGTAGTTTGATCTTTTATATTTTGTGAGCACGTTTTTGGTTTTAATGTAAGGGATGTTAATCGAATTTTGACTTCGCTTCCGCATTTGATATTTTTAATATACATTCCATTTTAAATTTTCAGGGCCGTTACATCGGCCTTCCATGTTGTAGAGGTATATAAGAGTCGTGTTTTAGGACAATATGACACTAAGTTACATATGTTGAAAGATATAATACATGGAGAAATTGAATATCGATGTGACAATTAAGAAGTGTATATAAGTTGAAGATAAGTGTTGGACGAGATGAAAGGTTCACACAAGTGGCAATATATTGAACTGTACCATTATGTTGATGAGTTGAGGTTGAGTAATCCTGATTCTATAGTTATAATTGGATTCAGAACGAAAATATCGACATTGATGAAAAATCTATTTTAAGAACATGCATGTGTGTTTTAAAAAATGGATGGAATACTGGATGTTGACATATTATACGTATGAATGAGTATTTACTTAAAGAAATGAGAAATTATCAATTATTGGTTGCTATCATAAGAGATTGGAACAATCAAATATATATATATAATTGCTTGGGTTGTTATGGTATCTGAATTAAAGGAGATATGGTGATGATTTCTTTCGATTAGTGATGAACGATATTAACATCTCGGAAGAGTAATTTTAATTTTTATCTTATTGAGGTAAAGTTATGGTTTCTTTTTCTTTAAATTTCATAGTAACAAAAAATAAAAAACAAAATAAACATTTATGTTTAACAAAAAGCAACCTTAATAACCAATCATTTTTTTAATATAAAATTGAGATATATGATCTCTTAAATAAATGCATATATATTTATATTTTGTTTTACTAAAATAAATATGTAAGATTAGAAATAATCACTACTACGGTATGAATTAATTTTGTGATTAGAAAAATTAAAAAAAAGCGAGTAGCCAATGATTGCTTTTTTCTAATTTTCATCATTAGATGTCTAACATGATCAACGGTCAGATTAAAAGAAAGCATATAAGAAGTGCGGAGGCATTAAGTATTTGAATATTTCTCCTTTTTTCTTTTAATGCATAAATTAATATATGGTGGATAAATAAAATTATGAAAATAAAATAAACAAAACGCATAAGTTTTAGTGTTTAGTTTGACTTTTTTGGGTTCATCCAAGTCCAAATGTGTTGGAGGGAATGGGGAGCGGTTAATTTAAGTCTGTCTGGTGGTGGTCGCTTGAGGACGAAGAGTGCGCACGTTAAGCGAATATACTCTGCTAGTTGTTGGCGCAGGTTAAGCCCACAGTAGAATTATATTTCAAAGACAGAAGAAAGCCAAGCAGAAGAGGAATCAAAGCAAAATAACCCTATACTTCGAGAGACAAAGAGACGAATCGTCGTTCAATGATCGATGTCGAAAGTGAAGCATCTGCTGAGAAAGCTCCACATCGGCGGTGGATTCAATGAGCACCAGAGATTGCCCGAAGCCGCCCGACCCGTGATCGGCCCCAGGCAACGTCAAAGCCCTAGCCCTAGCCCTAACCCTAGTCCAACAGCGGCATCGTCCGCCTCATCGTCGGGATCGGGGACAATGGGGGGAACTGCTACTGTTGATTCGTTGAGGGCCGATCGGCAGGCTGGGGCCGGGATGGATTTTAATTTTTTGGAGGAGGAGTTCCAGGTCCAGTTGGCTCTCGCGATCAGTGCCTCGGATCCCGATACGCGCCAGGATCCAGAGACAGCTCAGATCGATGCTGCCAAGCGGATTAGTCTAGGCTGCTCCCCTTCCGATACCGACACCAACGCCCTAGTCGAGTTCCTTTCGCTTCGGTACTGGGTACGTACAGATAGAATTTTTCACTTTAATCTTTTAGAGCTTAGATTTGGTGCATTAAATATCTGATTGCTTGGGTTTGTCTAGTGTGGATCTTGTTAATTTCAGCTACGAGTTAGCTTTTGATTGAGTTTCAGATTAAAGAATTTTGCTAATTATGATATTTGGTAGTTTTTTCTTTTGTTTTGCTTATTTTCTGTTTATAGGATTGGTATACTGATGGAAGTTTAGGGGTTTATCGTGAGTTAGTTGGAGCTCTGGATTGTGAATTGTGTTGTTTAACCTATGGCACATTCCATTGTCATCATGTGTTTGAATAATTATGTCTCTCACAATCTTAAGAAATGTTAAGATTTAATGTCCTTGTTTGATGGGTTTCCCATTTCAGTTTGTTTCTCATAATGCAGTCAATATTGTTATCATAGCCACAGAGTTTGGATGACGAATTTGCGGCTGCTTTGCCTTTTCATCATGCGAGTTCTAATAGTTACTTTTGTACTTCTTATCATTCCTAGCTAGTGAGCTAGATGATCCAATTTCTCTTGATGTTTGGTTTTTACTTCAGATTTTGTTAATCTCTCTTCAATATTGTTTTAAATGAAGTTATATGGGGACCTTATAGGTAGCTTATTCACCATTATCTCTCACATAAGGTTTACAGATTTTCCTCCTGTAAGGAAGTATTGTTTATCAACTTGTGATATTTTTCTGCAGCCAGTGCATGTGAAGAATAAGTGCCACTTTTGCTACAGCTTCGGCAGTTGTTTGGGTTAAGAATGAATTATGGGGGAACTTGGAATGCATTGACATATTCTTTTTCTTTGGTTGTTCTGTCTACAGATATTCTTTCCTTACATGTCAAGTTTGAATGATCTTTTACATATATTAAATGAAGTTCTCTAACTATTATTAATTGGTCTGCCATTAATAGTCTTATTCTTTTATTTGGTATCATTTTGATGAATCCTTAAGGTCTATTAGCTCAAATATACTAATTGCAGATGGCTTGTTTGCTTACACCATCAATTTCTAACTCTTATTTGCAGATCGAATTTAATGTACTTCCCCCAACAGAGTCAACTGCCATTTATTGTTGAAATCTTATTAATTTTTTAAAATTTATTATACCAAGATATTAAGAATCTGTTTGCTGAATGCCCCTGTGTAAAGATTGCAGTTCAGGATATTTCATAATAAATTCACTCTAGTTTCATTGGTGAAACTGCCTTTTTCATTTGCTCGTTGATTTCCTTTTGGAAGCAAGCTTGAATATACTAATTGCAGATGGCTTGTTTGCTTACATCATCAATTTGTAACTCTTATTTGCAGATCCAATTTAATGTACCCTTTCCCTAACATAGTCAACTGCCACTTATTGTTGAAATCTTATTATTTTTTAAAAATTTATTATACCAAGATGATTAAGAATCTGTATGCTGAATGCTCCTGTGTAAACATTTCAGTTCAGGATATTTCATAATAAATTCACTTGAGTTTCGTTGGTGAAACTGCCTTTTCATTTGCCCTGGTTGATTTCCTTTTGGAAGCAATTCTGTTTCTAATCTTGTAACAAAAACTTTAAAGCCCTCTTGTTGCTAATGACCTACCTATAAAGGGGAGAAACAACAACTATAGGGGTTTGAAATTGCTTATTGTCTACTTCTAAGAAATTTCTAAGTATTGCGTTTCAACTTATCCTTTTGGTAACAAAACAAGTAGTGTGCTTATTAGTGGTTAAAAGCAACTCTAAATGTGGAAAAATAAGCATCGGATTCCGTACTCTTTCTAGGTGCTTATTTTGTTTAATCTAATTAATTTAGTATTTTTGCTTTTTAATAATAATTGCTTATTATCAAAGAAGCATATGACTGCTGTTTAAATAGTTTGAAGAACATTTCTTCAAGCAATCCCTAAAAACCTCGTAGAATGTTTACAGTTTATTTTTATTTTTAACTATTGTGGTGAATTAATGATTAGTTTCAACATTTCCAAGTGGTTCTAATTAACTTTACCTTTTAGGTGATAGTTGAGTGGATGTTGTTTTTCACCTAAGCCAAAATACTGAAATTTTTATGAGTCTAAACATTAATGCCCTTTCTTGTACTACTCTCTATATATGGAATATGATAAATCCTTTACATACAGGCTTGTCTTGTTTTTTTTTTCTTTTTTGTTTCAAATGATCAATCCTTCTAGTTCCTTTGATGAGTTATTTTTAATTGATATTCTGGTCACTTGCAGAGCTATAAGGTTATAAATTATGATGAAAAAGTTGTGGATGGATTTTATGATGTTTATGGAATTACCTCACATTCAATCTCACAAGGGAAAATGCCATCATTGGTGGATATTCAAGCAGCATCAATTTCAGATAGTGTTGATTATGAAGTGATTTTGGTGAATCGCTTGGTTGACCATGAACTTCAGGAGCTTGAGAAGAAAGCATTTTCTGTTTCTTTGGAGTCTCGAGTTTTTGAACATCGTTTGGTTTCTTGTGGCTTGATCCAGAAAATTGCAGATATAGTTGTCGATAAAATGGGTGGTCCAGTTGCAGATGCTGATGAAATGTTGAGAAGGTGGACCTTGAGAAGTTACGAACTGAGAAATTCTCTAAATACCATTATTCTGCCACTTGGCCTCCTAGATGTTGGCCTTTCACGGCACAGGGCCTTGCTTTTTAAGGTTTGTGGCAAGCTTTTGTTAAAAGTTAAATTTATTTTTTGGAAAAAAGATATTTTCCTTCCTTTGCTAGAGATCATTATTTCCCTTTTTGACTTGCTTGGAAACATTGCCTATTGAGGTTAATTAAAATGTTAATTATCATCTTTCATATAAGGTGATTAAATTCTTGGGTTTAGTGGGAATGGAGAACCGACTTTCTTCTTGCCTTTTCTATTAGTGAAGAGTTCCAATTTTTTTCTCGAGGGGATAACTTACCGAAATTAATTAAATCTACTTCTGGTACCAGGTACTAGCTGATAGAATTAATCTTCCATGTATGTTGGTCAAAGGAAGCTACTATACTGGCACTGATGATGGAGCCGTGAATCTGATTAAAATTGACAATGGAAGGTAATGACTTGATTTATGTTTTAGGTTTATTATATTTTAGGTTTATGTCTTCTGCTTATATAGATATTTATTTGCTTCTTGGACTACAGACAGTAAATTTTTGGTAGTCTAGGCTCTCTATCTGTATTATCTTTATTTATAGGGTATGATTTTTCAGAAAGCCTTCCAAGTTCAGATTAGGTGTGTCTACATTTTCAACAGAAATGTTTCAATCCATGCAGCTTCTGTTTTTTTTTTTTCAAATTACTTGACTGTTAAGTATTATGACTGCAGTTCAATTTTAAAAAAGTATTACAACTCTAATTATTTTGATTTTTCGTGATACATGTTTCATAGTTGGATTTCTTGAGTCCTTCAGACCGAAAAACTGGAAACTAAGTTTTGATTCCATGTCCTAGTCACTTTGCATGTTGCATCCTGCAAAATTCATGCAGCTGGGCATTTGCTTATACAACTAGAGTTTTGAAGATGATTTTTTTTAATTGATGCAGTGAATATATTCTTGATCTGATGGGTGCTCCGGGAACGCTAATTCCTGCTGAGGTGCCTAGCAGTCAGCTTTCAAATGCTGGCCTAGGTCTACGGGGCTTTGCAGGTTACTTGGACACCTCCCTAGGTCCAAGTGAGGGTCTTGATAATCGAATTGGAACTTCAACAGTTTCATCTTCTTTCAATAAGGATACTGATACCAGTACCTCAAAAATGGATGGAATGCATGACGAAAGTTATACAAGCCAGGCTGAAAAAAACACTGGTGAAAAGAATCAAACTGAGGTTGTTGATCATGATGCTGGGAAATTAATTCCATCATTAAGTAGATCAGGTGAAACTTGTTCATGGGTTCCTGGAAAGACATCAAGTGCACAGAGAAGTGCACAAAAGATGAAGGTGAAAAACGTTTCTAAATATGTCATAAGTGCTGCTAAGGACCCTGAATTTGCACAGAAACTACATGCTGTTTTGTTAGAGAGTGGTGCATCTCCTCCACCAGATCTATTTGTGGATATTAATTCACAGGATTTTGGTGAACAGAATCTACTCGAACGAGTTCGCCAAGCAGATAGGAGTTACATAGATGGCAGATTTGATTATGATTCAAATAAGGTATTGTCTGGCCATGAGCAGTCTCTTGTATCATCCTTTGGAGAAAAGTTTTTAATCAGTGTTAGTTCGGATTTGAAACTAAAACAGACAACTGAACGGGTAGACGAACATCAAAGAAAATTAGAGACAAATATCATAAGATCTCATGTCTCTTCACCTTCTCGCACCAAAAGTGAGGAGTTTTTGTTTGTGGGAAACATAGTTGATGAAAGAATTCGGACTGAAGGAACTGGTCTAGGTATACTTCCTGTTAATTCACATAGATTGTTTGCAAGATTTTTGCATGGGCAGTAAATTTATGAATTTTCCTTGCCCTCTGCAGTTGACTGCTGCCAACAGCACTTCAAAAATGCCTCTGTTACTGATGATAAATCACTAGGAAGGATTTCTGATAACAATGATTCAGGTAAAGGATCTGATTGGGAAGCAATGGAAATTGCCAATTGCAGTCAGAGTATCATTTCAAATGGTAACAGTGAGAGTATTAATCCTGTGTTGAGAGGGGTTGCAGAATGGGAAATCCCTTGGGATGATCTTCAGCTTGGTGAACGGATTGGTATTGGTAAGCCTTCATTGTACTCTGTTAACTTTAAGTAGCATTCAATGCATGGAGACCAGAATTTGTATATTGTCATTTGAGGTGAAGGCATAGGAGCATAGTATGTTATAGGCATTAATTACAATTAATAAGGAAAATAATGCGGTAAAGAAAAAAGGAATAGAAAGTTTATAATCCCTAATAATACTGAAAATGTACTTAAATACTCTAAATAAATTAGAAATACTTTTTTTGAGAAGAAAATGAATCAAATATACTATTTTTGTAAAAAAAAAAAACATAATTATGTAAATATTTTGTAATACAAAAACTATTCTGATTTTGAATTTTATTCTGTATCATCAACTGATGCAAGTGAAGTAGTCTTGAAACTAACTATTCTACAGTAATTAGAAATTAGAGGAATATAGGTGAGAAAATAGAAGAATAGAGTAGATAGAGAATACTGAAAATCAAGGTGGAAAAGTATAAAATGAAATAGATAGAGAGGTTAGACTAAGAAGAATAACAATTTCTTAAGAGAACACAGAGATAATAGAGAATAAAATCCTTAAACCAAGAAATTATGAATTAATCATTGTCTGTTGTCTGTTACTTTTGATTGTTAACAACTGGTGCTACGATGTATGACCCACTTCCAGTATTACACAATTACTCATAAATAAGCTAATGGGTAGCACTGATTTAGCAAGTTTAAGTTAGAAGAAGAAGAGATTAGGTGGGAAAGAGAGAAAAGAGGAAGATTAGGGATTAAGGGAGAGGTGAAAGAAAGAGAAAGGAAAAGAAAAGTGTGGCAGAAAGAAGGAGAAACCGCGGAAAAAAATATTTCAATCAATATTTCAATAACCGTCTGAAAATACAGAACTTAAATAAATATCATAGAACCATTTATAGAATGTTAGAAATATTCCTCTTTAGCCTGTTGCTATTCTGCATCGCACTAATTATAAATAATAAAGGAAATATGTTGTAATAACAAAGGAATTGGAAGTTCCTAATTGCTAATAATACTTAAAGTACATCTAACTAGCCTGTAAACTAAAGTTTAGTAATAATTATAAAAAAATTGTTCAAATTCTGTATCTTAATCAGCTTTTTTTTTGTTCCACTAAAGAACAGAGGTTATAAATGTGAAAATTACTTTTAAGGTACTTCTACCTTATTACCTTGTGCTTTGGTGTTTGCAAGCATGTGTTAGAGAGGAAAGGCTTTGGAGTTATGTGGAGGAGTTGGATCTTAGGGTGTATTTCCTTTGTTTCTTTTGCTGTTTTGTTGATATGTAAAAACAGATTCTTGTTCGGGGGCAAACGTGGTCTGAGACTAGGTCGTCCATTCTCTCTTTTTCTTTTCACAATTGTAGTAGATGTCTTGAGCAGTATGTTGTCTCGTGGGATTAGAGAGGTGTCGTTGAGGTCCTTTGTGTGGGAGAGATAGGATAGTGGTTTTCCACCACCAATTTTTCGATGATAAGATCTTTTTCTTCTCTAATGATCACAAGAAGTTTGGAAATGTTTTGGCTACTTTGCATCTATTGAGAGTATTTTGAGTCTGACTTAATCCATCAGAAAATTGGTCATGCGGGTACTAACATGGTGAGTGATATATTCGTTGTTTCGTTGGGCCGGTGGGTTATGATATCTTATAGTGGCTTGTCACTTGTTTGGGTAAGCTTTTGGTGGGCGATTCTCAGATTACTTCGGAATGATTTGGACTCTACAATTAGAGTTTTTTTTGAAATAAAAATGTATTAGTATATTAACATGGTACCAAAACAGGGGTATCAACCTATTTACAAAAGAATTACAGAGTAATAAGCATATCGAAGACAATCCCAAAATCCTCCTCATTCATCATATCATGCCCTAACAAGCTTGTCCCAAAATAATTAAACCATCTATCTCTTAATTTATATAATCTTATTTCTTTCCTCTCAAATGTTCTAGCATTTCTTTCTTTCTAAATAATCCAAAAAACGGTCAATAGAACCAAAGTAGAAACACAACCATTGATCTCAAGCCCCTCCCAAGCCCAAATTTCATCCATAACATTCCCAGCCACAACCCAATTAATCCCCAGCAGCCCATAAATTATGCACCACACACTATAGGCCACGAGGCACCATAAAAGTAAGTGATTGCAAGTTTCCTCTGCACACTTATAAAGGTAAAATCTGTTAACAATAAACTGCCCCCTCCTTTTTAATTTGTCCATAGTGAGAATACTTTCCCCGCTTGCTTCCCACGCAAAAAAAGCCACTCTAGGAGGGACTTTAGAATTCCAAATTTGTTTAAAAGGGAAAATCCCAACTATCATCTCCATCGCCACCAATCAGCATTCTGTAGTATGAATGGACAGAAATTTTTTTCCTTTTTTATAACTTCCAGGAGACCTGATCCGAGCCCTCTTTCACATTCTGTTCCTCCAAAAGCGCCAAGAGTTCTTCAAACTCTTGAATTTCCTAGTCATTTTAACTGTCTATTCATTCTGACAGACCATATGACGCAATCATTGCAACTCCGGTATGCATCAGCCACCAACATCGATTTCGAACGGGCAATCTCAAAAATGCTGGGAAACCTGTTCTGCAAACTGTCATCACCAACCCATTTGTCACACCAAAAACTAATTTTATTCCCTTTCCCAGGTTCCATTTAATACAGCTGTAGAACCTCGGCCATTGTTTCATTATATTCTTCCACAAGCCTTGTCCATGAGGTGTAGAGCTGGCCCCATCACATACCGCATTCAGATCACCCCAGTGGACGAGCACAATTTTTCTCCACAGCTTGTAATCTTCATTCAAAAACTTCCATAACCATTTTCCTTGAAGAGCCAAATTCATGTTGACAACAGATCTTATGCCCAAATCACCACTATGAATCAGTTTTTTAACCTCCTCCCAATTAACCAAATGGTACTTCCTTTTTCCATCTTCATCGCCCTATAGAAATCTACATTGAATAGCTTTCAATTTCCTTGTAATTTCTTTAGGGATGGTGAGTGTCTAAAGGTAGTAAATAGGGAGGTTGGAGATAGTGCTTTTAATTAGAGTTAAACGGCCTCCCTTTGATAGGAAATTCCTTTTCCAACCCGCAAGTCTATTTTCAAACATTTCAATAACCGATTCCCAATTACACTCATTTTTGAATTTGGCCTCTAAAGGAACCCCCAAATATTTCATAGAAAACACCACTGCCTTGCACCCCAAGACCTTGGCATATACACTGCCATCCCCATTACTCCAAGTTCTAGCAAGCTCTGATTTTTGGAGGTTTATTTTCTGCCCCGATGCAGCCTGAAAACAATGAAGGATACAACGAAAGTGTAACAGATTCCTGATATCTAGATGGCAAAAAATGAGTGTGTCATCAGCGAAGAAAAGATGAGAGACTTCAATCGCATGTGACTTTTTTCCAACCAAGACACCTTTCAATAAATTCAGTCCCTTGGCTTTACCCAATAACCCATTCAGAGCCTCCATCACGATGATGAAGAGTAGAGGGGAGAGGGGATCACCGTGTCTAATCCCACGGGAAGCAATAAAAAATTCAGATGGCCTAACATTTAGCAGTACCGCAAAAGAAGTAGTGGTCCATCTCCTCCATTTTATATCGAAACCCATCCTATCCAACATGTAGTCAATAAATACCAACTTACATAGTTATAAGTCTTTTCCATATCGAGTTTACAAACCAACTCATCAATTTTATTGACATATAAATCATACTTCATTAGCAGCCATGACAGCCTCCAGAATCTGCGTTCTTTCGACAAAAACATGTTGACAATCCTTTATCACCTCCCCAAGCACTCTAGAGAGTCTCTTTGCCAACACTTCAACAACTAATTTATACATACAGCCCACCAAGCTGATCGGCAGGAAATCCCTGAATTCATTAGCGCCTCTTTTTTTTGGGATGAGAACCAGGAATGTGGAATTAAGAGATTTTACAAACCTTCCGGATTTATGTAATTCATTAAACATACACATCACATCCTCTTTGATCAAGTGCCAACATTCATGGACAAATTTCATATTAAACCCGTCGGACCCTGGAGCTTTATTTCCATTAGCAGATTTCAGACTTTCCAGAACCTCCTCTTCTGTAAACGCTGCCTCCAGAAACTGTTTGCTAACCTGGGGCAACCTTTTAAACTATAGCCCATCCAAAGTAGGTCTTTAATTGGAAGGTTCTATGTACAGATTAGTAAAGAAACTCCTGACAGCCTTTCTAATCTCATTATTCCCCTTTATATCACTATTACTGATCCGAACTTTACTGATATAATTTATTCTTCTTCTATGCGACTCAAAAGCATGGAAATATTTGGTATTACGGGCCCCTTCTTTGATCCACTTCTCCCTAGATTTCTGCCTCCAAGATGTTTCCTTTGCTTTTAAAATATTAGCCAGCTTAACTTTCAAGTAGTTCCTTCTTGCTCTGTCATCATCAGAAAAGCTGTCAACACCCTCTTTACTCTCTAATCCATCAATCTCCTCCAGAATGTCGTTGGATTCCATTTTATCCTTTTCAATCTCCTCTTTGGCCCAAGTTTTGACCGCATTCTTAATTGCTTTAAGTTTACGAGCAATTCTGAAACTAGCACAGCCGTGCACTGAGGTAGAGTTCCACACAGATTCCACCAAGGAACAAAAATTCTCCTTCTCCAACTATCTGTTATCCAATCTGAATGGGATAGGGTCCCAAAAAATACCCTCAGCCATATGACATATGGGGAAGTGATTGGAGATGGGCAGTTGGAGGGTTTTTTGGCACACCCCTCCCAATTGTGGTAAGAGATAAGAAGAAGCCAGAAAGCGGTCAATCCGAGACCAACATCTTTGATTGGACCAGGTCCATTACCCTCCACCAAGGGGAATATCGACAAGATTCAATAAATCAATATTCTCTTTGAAGTCACTAGCTACAGATAAAGAGAAGTTGCACCCATTACTTTCCTCCCTACTCAAAATCATATTGAAATCTCCCCCCACTATCCAATTATCGCCCCACATGTTTCTGCACTCCTCCAATTCCTTCCATAAAATCTCCCTTTCCTCTCTGTTTCTTATACAGTAGACCCCGGCATAAGTCCACTCAAACCCCCCTTTGTTACATTTAAACCTATATGAGATCGTACAATTTTTAATCACCACCTCATCACAGCTAACACTGTCCTCCCTCCACAACATCACCATACCCCCAGCAATGTCCTTTGCTGATAATACGAGCCATTTAAAACTGTTTATCGCCCACAAGCTTTTAATAACTTCATTATCAATACACTCCATTTTAATTTCCTGCAAGCAAACAACCTCGGGCTTCCATTTAGTTAAACATCCCCTGATAATCAGTCTTTTGTTACGTTTATTGATCCCTCTTACATTCCAAGAAATTATTTTGTTAAACATTTAACCCTGTTTTCCTGGCTCCCTCTGACTTGCTTCCATTCCTCCTCCTTTCATAGTTTATCGAGGATTCTAGTCTTTTGCGTTCTTCCAATTTCTTCTTTTCTAATTCCGAAAAGTAAAGTAAGTTAGAGTTTCCATACCTTCTAATGAGACACCAATTAACTTGTTGAATTTCTGCACATTCTGAGCAACCCACATGGAATAGCAAACTTCGACCCCTTCCACAATATTTACATCAACCAAGCTAATCTGAAGAATTTCCTCCATCTCTGGGTTATGATGGCGTTAAGAACTTGGGTTTCTTCCCCTACCACCACCAAATTGAGATTATTGAACTCCTCACCCTGCCTACCCTCAGAAAAGAATTTCCCTTTATTTTCAAAATCTTCTTTCGTTGAAAAAACAGAGCATTGATCATCTTCTTCTTTATCTTAGCGCAACAGCACCCCAACATCCCCATCACTTTCTTCTTCTCTATTGATTCCTTCCATTTCAGCGCAAGAAGCAAAATCAGCATCTAATTTCTCCTCGCACGAGTTGAACGTCTCAGAAGAAAACCCTACCTCTTTTGACCCCAAGGCCACTCCACGTGTCTGGCCACAACCCTTTAAATTTTTTGGTCAGGGTCAATGGGCTTCCCACATACAGCATAAGGCTCACTTGGGCTTGGATCAACAGCCCACTTCCTTTTTTCAGCCCATGTGAATCTCGCCTTATTGCTACCCATCCCAGAACCTTTATTATGAGTCCAACCCGAAATAGATTGGGATACTTCTGCCACCAACTCGACTTCGGAGAGGAGCGTTGTTATATTTACTCATATGCCCCTCGTGGATCTAGACTGAGTTCCCCGGGTCATTCCGCTCCAAAGACTTTACGGAGTGCTTCTGCCCTACCCGAGTCTTCTTTTCCTCCTTTCTTTGCAGAGCCGCCGTGTAGGAATGTACCCCGCCAACATTCATCAAGAAGTGAATGGGGATGTTACAGTGGAGACAATTAAAAGAGGCATTCCATGGCACCTTAGCATCTCGCATTTTTACCCGCAAGCCTGAGTTCTTCACCATTGAAGGCATATCCTTGGTTCGAGGCTTTTTAATAGGGCTGTTCACTAGTTCAAAAGCCGCGACAATAAGCTTCCACCAATCCCTTCCATTCTCGCCCTGAGGAAAGAAAATCCTCTTTGCCTTCTTGTTTCCGTTTATTGACAAAACTAAATACTCACCTCTATTATTTTTTCCACACCTCAACCAGAACTCATAAATCCTTCTCACTAGATGCTTTGCCCATACGCCCGTCTTTCTCTTCCATCAAAACTCTTCCAGGCCATCCACGTCCACGAACCATTTAAGTTCCTCCTTATCTAGAAAGATTGATTTTCGAAAACCCTTCCACCCTCTTGCCTTCACAAACTAGATCAAAAAATTTGTTATCGATGTGAAGTACCGTCTCCCGTACGCACTCATGAGAATCAACCCCGGGCGGCCTGGTTGGTCGGCCCAAGTTCACGGCAATAGATACTTACGAGATTTATGGATGCACAAGATAAATGATCTTCAAGGCTTATTCCATTGGCTACCTTTTAGGTATTTTGGAAGGGAAAAGACAGAAGAGCTTTTTTAACCTATAATTAGTGTTATTACTTCTTATAGAAGCCTAGAAAGCCCTCTCAAGTCTTTATGCATCTTTTCTTCCCGTTCTCACTTTGTGTGCATGTGATGGGTCTCATTTAGTTCTAATTTAATCTCATCTACTTCTCAAAATATTCTTTTATTTATAAAAAATGTATTTTCATGTACTAAGGCTTCTGGTCAGCATTATGTTTTAATAATATTATTGTGTAACTGCTAGTGGAATGAACAGTACGGTAGTTGAGTATAATTTTTTTTTTCTTTCTCAAAATACAGGAACTGATTTTTGTAAGGGCAAAAACATAGGAGACCAAAGAGTAGCTTGCCCATATTTTATGACAGTATTATATGAATTTATTTTCTAGTTCTTGGTCCATATTCACAAACAAGCACTTGGCAGAAGGGAGGGTTTTCATTTAATTTTCTTCATTATGGGGATTATTCTTCTCACATTAAGTTCTCCATAGTGAAAATTTCGCCGGTGGCTCTTTGGGTTTAGTCACTTTACGGAATCATGCTTAATTCTTTCTGTTCTCTCTTTTTTTTTCCTAACAATTTAATATTTGCATATCGTGAGATTGGTATTTCCCCTTTTTAGCGATTAGATAGTAAAAACCAGAAGCATTTCGTCATGCTAAGGTATGAATCTCTTTATGGGTTTCTGCACTGTTATTTGACAAAACCCTGTAGCTGATGATGATGCTGATTGTGCCCATTTTTTAGCCTTGCTTTAGTTTGCATATCAACCCTGTATGCCTGAGCCCCTCTTTCCTTCAAATGAATTATACCAAATTGCTTGAACCTGTGTTTGCAATTCCAATAGTTAGCATGACTAGCTAGCCATCAGTACAATATGCATTCAAGAACTGTAGAATGATTAAACCTGCTTTTTTGTGCAATGTTTTCCCAGACGGAAATAATGGTTATTGGACCTCTCTTTGACTGCACTAGATCTTGAATTTCATTTTGTATACTGCATGTGATTGAATGTGTTTAGTTCTTTTTTGAGATAAAAGAGTATGAGATATATTGAGTGTAGGCACCAAGGGGATGCCACCCATGTACAAATTTATAAATCAAAGAGCATATCTACAATAAAACCAAAATCATCGAGGCTACAAAGGTGACGTCCAAGTATAATGGACCCCAAAAAAATGAAACCATTTGTTCTTGATGTTTCGAGAACTATCCTCTTTGCCGTCAAAAGCACGATTGTTTCTTTTTTTTTTCCAGAGGATCCAAAAAATAGTAAGAGGAATTAGTCGGTAATTCTTGTTTCTTTTGCACATAAATTGAATGTGTTTAGTTTTAAGGTGACAAAATCTAGGATGAGCTTCAATTGTGTGGTTCTTCAACAAAAGTAATCTAAATGTTTGTCTCTTGCAGGTTCATATGGAGAGGTATACCGAGCAGAATGGAATGGCACTGTAAGTTTTATATTTTTAACATCTAATTGTTGTCCATTGTGCTTTTATGTTATCGCAAGCATCATTTAGGGTGGGTGGTTGGCTGACCTGATCTTCGGGCCTTTTTTTCTTTTTCCTTTAATTTAATTTAGATATAATGGATATTATTATATTTAACTATATTTGTTTCTATTCTATCTTGTTTATATTAAATATTGTTATTACTGAAATAAAAAAAAATAATGTATATATTTTATTTCCATATCATTTTTGGTAATTTTATACTTAATTCTTTTAATTAAAATAATCATAAGGCTTGTTATGTGAAAAAGAAACACTAGCTACAACGAAAGGGACATGTATATTCAGACCAAAAAGGAGATGGTAACATGCACCATATTTCGTGGAAGCCCTGATGACAGCAATGAATCAAATGATGTAATGTATCCAAAATGTTGGATAACATGTTGAAGCGATCATTCAATAAAAAGAAAATAGTTATAAAATAGTTATTACTAAGTTATTTTCTTTAGAAGGAAAAGAAATTTAAAAAAATATGATCTTTAAACAAGGGAATTGTATGTAATATCTTCATTGAGGAAAATAAATCTTATTGTTGCCACTTCCTTATTTTAGTAGGTTAATGAAATACTTGAAAATCTTCTGATTGCTTCAGTAGCTCTTTAATATGAGGTTCCAGACAATTTATAGTTTCAATTAAAGGTGAATAAGTGAGAGTCGGAAATTCATGAATGATATATAGTAGCAAACCAGTTGTCGCTTATTTTAGGGGTTCACGGAATAAACTTGGATTTGCATCACAGGAAGTTGCTGTTAAGAAGTTTCTAGACCAAGATTTCTCTGGAGATGCACTGGTTCAGTTTAAATCTGAAGTAAGCTTCTGAACTTAATCTCCTCGATATAGTTTTCTGTTTGCTTTCTTATTTTCTTGTTTGATTGATTTAATCAATCTACCAGATAAGCTCATGTTATTTTTTCTTTGTAGGTTGAAATAATGTTGAGGTTGAGACACCCAAATGTTGTTCTTTTCATGGGAGCAGTTACTCGGCCTCCACATTTCTCTATCCTGACGGAGTTCCTGCCCAGGTTGATTTGTTCATATGATTGAAATAAAACATTACACTTGACTCATTTAAATTCTTTAGTGCCTTGTCATTGTGGTGTTTTAAGTAATTTAAAAGCTGTTTCTCTTAATTAATAGTGTGATTCTCCTTTCTGTGCATTCATGTTAAGGATGTCATAATCCAATTATCTTAGTTTTCAATGAAAACATAAACTACTTATTGGGGCTCATTCTTGTCTCGTATATCATTTATGTACAGGGGGAGTTTATACAAGTTACTGCATCGTCCCAATCCTCAGCTTGACGAAAAGAGACGAATGCGGATGGCCCTTGATGTGGTAGAGTGGAGAAACAAAATTACTTTTTGGTTAAATGTATTTGGTTTTTTGCTGTTATGCCTTCCACTTTAAGGTGCTTTAAATTATTTTTGCAGGCCAAGGGAATGAACTGCTTACACACAAGTCATCCACCCATTGTGCATCGGGATCTGAAATCGCCAAACCTTCTTGTTGATAAAAATTGGGTTGTAAAGGTTTGCTCAGATTACCACTTAAGTTCACTTTTTGGCACATTGTTTGACTGACCCAATTGCTCCCAGAACATAATTATACTTTTTGAGATCTTATTGTTATCTTCACCAGGTTTGCGATTTTGGGTTATCACGCATGAAGCATCATACTTTTCTTTCTTCAAAATCTACTGCTGGAACGGTTAGTCCATCTGAAACTCCTCCAAGATTTCTTTGTCGTGCTT